CGAAACGATCTGCGGGGGGCCGCGAGAAGGCGATCAATCATGCTCCCAATCAACTTCCTAGACAGCTCTCCTGTAGCATGACGGTACTTCGAAGCCTCCGGAGACTCGCGGGTCCATGATGAACAATGTCCCAGGAACGCTTTCTGGGACATGGTTTGTTAGGGTGTGATGGGGGGTCTCTTGGGCGTTCCCTGGGGGCCCCTTGGAGGCCTTCGGGAACTCTCGTGCCCATGATGAACCATGTCTCCGGAAGGTTTTCTGGGGACATGATTTCTTGGGGTGTGCCTCTGGACCCTCTCTTGGGGAGCTCGTGGGGCACAATTGGGTTGTCTGGGGAGCCTCCTGGGCCGTCTCGGGGCCCTCTTCGGGGCCTCCTGGCCCGTCTTGGAGCGATCTGAAGGGCCTCCGAGCGAGGCCGTGAGAGAGCGCTGGGAAGCGGGGAAAGCGAGAACGCCTAAATCCTTCAAAACCATAGGAAAATTAGTGAATCTTGCCTCCCAGGGCCCTCTTGGGGAGTCTCTTGAGTCCGTCCTGGAGCGTGCTCGAGTCCTCGTCGGCCGTCTTCAGGGCAGCTTGGGCGTCTTCGGGGCCTCTTGGGAACGTCTAGGGCCCTCTCGGGACCTCCATTAGCCTGTCGTGGCCTGCTTCGGGGCGGGCCCAGGCCGCCTCGGGATCCCTCGGGGCCTTCTCTTGGCGCGCTCTTGGGGCACACTTGGGTTGTCTGGGGGGCATCCTGGGGCGTCTTGGGGCCCTCGTGGGCCTTCTTGGAGCGATCCGAGGCTGTGAGGGAACGCTGGAAAGCGGGAAAAGCGAGAACGCCAAAATCCCAAACACTCAGAAAACGAGTGAATCTTGCCTCCCAGGGCCCTCTTGGGGAGTCTCTAGAGTCCGTCCTGGAGCGTGCTCGAGTCCTCGTCGGCCGTCTTCAGGGCAGCTTGGGCGTCTTCGGGGCTTCGTGGGACCGTCTTGGGTCCTCTCGGGACCCCCTTAGCCTGTCGTGGCCTGTTTTGGGGTGGGCTTGGGCCGCCTCGGGAGCTCTGGACCCCCCCCCGGCAACCCCTGGTGGGCACCGATGGGGGGAACAAGCAGCGACCTGCCCCCCCCCAGACCTACTCCGAGATAGAGAATCATGTTTGTTCGGCTCTCTAAGAGGGGGCCTCTGGGGGCTTACTGAGGGGCGCCTTTTGGCCTTGTCTGCAAGCCTATTGGAAACACGGTTGGGGCGGTGGGCGGAAGCCACGGAACCATGTTCCCAGAAAACTATCTGGGAAAGACGATTTACCGAAGTGTTTTGGGGGCCCGCAGGGGGCTTCCCTGGGGGTCCTTTGGGGGCCTATCAGGGCTTCCGGGGGGCCTCTTGGGAGCCTCACGAGGCTTCTTGGGAGCCTCTTGATGGCCTCCGGGGGCGTCCTAGGAGCCTCTCAGGCCGGAGACTTCTAAAATATCGCGCTCTTCGGGCCCTGTTGGGTCGCTCTTGGAGCTCTCTCGGGGCGCTCTCGAGGCCCTCTTGACTTATCAGGGGAGCCTCCTGGGCCGTCTCTGGGCTTTCTTGGGGGACTCTTCGGCCATCTTGGAGCGAACTGAAGGGCCTCTGACGCGGTCCGGGACCGTGGGGAGGCAGAACATGGGAGAGCGCAAGAATGCTTCAAAAACCATTGGGAAATGAGTGATTTTCGGCTTCTGGGGCCCTTTGGAGGGGCCTCTGGAGGCGCTCTTGGGGCGTTTTGGCGGCGTCGTCGGTCGTCCTGAGGCCATCTTCGGCGCGTCCGGGGCCTCTGGGGGCTGTCTGTGGGCGCGTCCTGGGAACCCGGAAATCATGCTCCTGGGGCCTCCTGGGCTGGGTCTGGGGCCTCTTGGGCCGTCTTGGGGGTTGGGCCGTCTTGGGCCCTCTTGGGTCTCTCTTGGGCTGTCTTGGGGCTCCTCGGGGGCGTTTGGGGCACTGCGAAGACGAAGCAAGGGAGCATGCGGAATATGTACGTTTTACTACGGGGACGGGCTGATTTTTGCCTCTTGAAGGCCCTCTTGGGGCCCTCTTCGGCCATCTTGAAGCCATCTCGGGCCCTCTTGGCTGTCCTGGGACCCTCTAGGGGGCCCTGGGAACCCAGAAATCATGTTTCCGGAGAAGCTTCTGGGAACATGATTTCGAACGAAGCCCTCTTGGGCCTCCCTGAGGCCGTCTTGGGGGCCTCCTGGGCCGGCTTTCGGGCCTCTTGGGCCGTCTTGGGGGGTTCCGTGAGCCCTACAGGCAGACCTTTTTGGGCCGTCTACGGCCCTCTTGGGTCTCTCTTGGGCTGTCTGGGGGCTCCGCGGGGGCTTCTGGGGCACTTTGAAGACGAAGCCAGCGAGTATGCTGAAAACGCACGTTTCACGAAGGAAATGGGCCGATGTTTGACTCTTGAAGGCCCTCTTGGGGCCCTCTTCGGTCATCTTCAAGCACGGGCCCTCTTGGGCCTCGCTGAGGTTGTCCTGGGGCCCAGTAGAGGGTCCGGGAGCCCCGAAGTCATGTTCCCGGAGAGGCTTCCGGGAACATGATTTCGAACGGGGCCCTCTTGGGCCTCCCTGAGGCCGTCTTGGGGGCCTCCTGGTCCGGCTTTGGGGCCTCTTGTGCAGTCTTGGGGATTCCGTGAGCCCCACAGGACGACGCTTTTGGGCCGTCTAGGGCCCTCTTGTGTCTCTCTTTGGCTGTCTTGGGGCTTCGCGGGGGCGTCTGGGGCACTGTGAAGACGAAGCCAGCGAGTATGCTGAAAATGTCCCTTTTGAAGGCCCTCTCGGGGCCCTCTTCGGCCATCTTCAAGCCATCTCGGGCCCTCTGCTGAAGCTGTCTTGTGGGCCTCTTGGGCGTCCTCGGAACCCGGAAATCATGTTCCCGGAGAAGCTTCCGGGAACATGATTTCGAGCGAAGCCCTCTTGGGCCTCCCTGAGGCCGTCTTGGGGGCCTCCTGGGCCGGCTTTGGGGCCTCTTGGGCCGTCTTGGGCGACCCTTTTGGGCCGTCTGGGGCCCTCTTGGTCTCTCTTGGGCTGTGTGGGGGCTCCGCGGGGGCGTCTGGGGCACTGTGAAGACGAAGCCAGCGAGTTTGCCGAAAATATACGTTTTACGCAGGAAATGGGCCGATGTTTGCCTCTTGAAGGCCCTCTCGGGGCCCTCACGGGCCCTCTTGGGGCGCTCTTGGACGTCTTCGGGGCCTCTTCAAGCTTTCTTGACCATCTGTACGGCCCGCGTGGCCTGTCGTGGCCAATTTGGAAGCGGCCTGGGGCAATCCCGGGGGGTCTGTGACCTCCCAAAGGTTCGGGGGGGCGGCCATGGGGGATGACGGCACCGATTTCCCCCCCCCCCCGGCCTACTCTGATATGTATATATATATATATATATATATATAAAAGGTCTATATATAGAGCCAAAAAATTAAACAAAGGGCGATCAACATCAGAGACGTGCATAACATCATGAATATTTCAATTTGCTCGCGGATCGATTGAAAACAATTGCCTCCATCTCCTGAAATGGATACTGTTTTTTTTGGTCGGGCGATAACCCGGGTTATAGACTGCAATCAGATAAATTTCAAGTTGTGCACGTGGAAACAATATGGACTTAAATATGCCTTGCTGAAAAGAACTGCAAACAACAACAAATTATTTGGTGCACCTCGGGGCTACAATCAAGAATACTAGACACGTGCATGCATCGATTGGGGCAAATCTGGGGGGAATTCAGTAGATGTATGAAAAATGGTAACACACATTTCAATAAACCAGGCGATAGTCACAAGCAACAAGTCGTGTATTCCCTCAGGTCGGCATTGTTCAACACAGCAGAAAAACTACGATTGAACAATCTCCAAGCGAAATGCCTCAGGAAAGTATTGAACATTGTTCATTCGTTCCTTTCAAGAATATCAAACAAAACTGTTCTGGAGAGAAGCCAACAACTACCTTACACATCGCACATCGCACCTATTGTATCAACAACTTCAACTATGTGGGAATCTTGGCCGGAACCCTAGCACTCATGCGCTGCGTGCGGCAACGTTTCAATTTGATAGTCTCATGCCGGTTGCGCTGATTTGCAAACATGCGCGGGGAAAACCAAAAAGAGAACGGGAAGCAAAATTGTTAGCAATCGTTTCTTTTTGTTCCCCTTATTCGGAAACTTTAATGGGCAACTGGATGTGGGCAAGACGAATACTTATGATAAGCATTGCGTGGCTTGTGCGTCGTAGCAGATAAAACACATTTATCATCATCTTCCTCCCCCCCCCTTCGTCCTCACGGCGCGCATTTGGCACGTCCAGGCCACTTGGGCACGCATTTGGCGTGCAATCGTCTGCCATCCGTCGTCCCTGCGGTCCAAGTATTCGAATTTTCGTTGTCGTATCCTGAAGTCCAGTGGCCGACTGACTGGAAAGTCGAGGTTTGAACCCTCGCTGTCCAGGACCTCCACACTGGAGTTCAGTTCGCCAGGCCCCTCCTCCCCCCTCCTCCTCCTCCTCCTCCTCCTCCTCCTCCTCCTCCTCCTCCTCCTCCCCCTCCTCCTCCTCCTCCTCAAATTTCCGTCCCGGATTTTTCTCCCGAAATCCGGTGGGTGACCGATCGAGCGCACGAAGCGCGAGCGAAAGAGCCATGTGCCAAATGCGCGTGGGCAAAGAAAAGAAGGGCGACACGCCAAAGACGTGCAATCAGCAGACGATTCCACTCGCATGCTCCAATCCTGCGCCGCGAGCCCGCGAGCCAGCTGCTCCCCGCTGGGCGCCTCGCGGCACCAATTCACCCGCCAACAAAAACCTGGTCTCGGGGGCTTGCTGTTACGCTGCTGAAGCGAGGCCTGAAGCCAGGAGGCGCTTGATGATGCTGATGCTGATGATGCTGCTGATGACGATGATGACGATGCTGATGATGCTGATGATGCTGATGATGATGATGATGATGATGATGATGATAATGATGCTGACGATAATTATGTGGGCGTGTGAGTGTGTGAGCGAGTAAGAGAAAGGGGAGGAGGAGGAGATCCTGCGGTGTGTGTGTGTGTGTGTGCAAAGAAAGCAAGAACTCCACTTTGGATGCGGGGGAAGAATTGCACCACGTAGATCGTACCACATAGATGGCACCACCAGGCTCACAAATGACGATATATACATCTAAATGCACCTATGTGTGTGTGTGTGTGTGTGTGTGTGCGTGTGGTGGAGCCGCTGCCACGGCCGGCACGCGAGAGCGGGCAACGGCGAGCGGCAACGCACTGGGCAAACGGAAGGCGGAGGCAGAGGGCAGCGGGCGGGCGATCGGAGGCGGCAGAAGGCAGCGGGCGGGCAGAGGGCAGCGGGCGGGCGAAGGGAGGCGGCAGAGGGCAGCGGCGTCGGCGAGCGGAGGGAGCGCGAGCGGAAGGAGCGCGCAGAGAGCCTCACGCCTGCGCGGCGCGCCCGCGGTCGCGGCCGCGCACGCGCGGCGTCTCCGCGCCGCCCAGCGGAGTGCTCCTTGCCCACGTGGGCGCCACCGGCTGAGGCTGGGCGCGCCACACCCCGCAACTCCTCCATCTCGCTGCCCCTCCTCCTCCTCCTTTTCCTCCTCCTCCTCTTCCTCCTCCTCCTCCTCCTCAGCCTCCTCCTCCTCCTCAACCTCCTCCCTGCGATAGTCCATCCTCTGTCTCGTCCTGCTCCTTCGCCTCCACCTCCGATTCGTGCTCCTCCTTTTCATTATCCTTACTCCTGCACTCGTTCTCCTCCTCGTCCACCTGCACCTCTTCCTCCTCCTGCCTCACCCCTACTCCGTTTCGTTCTCCTCAGTCTCCTTCCTCCTTCATCATGCTCCTGAGTCGTTCATCAATCCTCCTCCTTTTCTGGCGGTTCCTCCTCTTCCTCGTCCTCCTCGTCCTCCTCTCCTCCCCCTCCTCCACCTCCTCCTACTACTCCTCCTCCTCTCCTCTGGCGCCTCCACTTCCCCTCCTTTCGTCGTCCCCCCCCTCCATCTACTCCCACCCCATGTCCTTATTAGCTATTTCTGCATTGTCGCTCATTCAGATTGTTTCTCACCTTCATTCCTACTACCCCCCTATCCTTATATTTCTTTTTCCTCCTCCTCGTCCTACCCCTCCTCCTCCTCCTGCGTCGACAGCAGGGGGGCCCATGCGACCTGTTAGACGCAATCAACGTGTATGGCTGCTGCTCTCAAGCATGGACGCTCTGTCTCCCGTGTCGCAACACGCGTGGCAGGAACGGGACGGGGCGCATCTCCCGCTCTCTCGCTCGCCTCGGCGCCGCGCCGACTTTTCCATGGAGCTCACGCTTGGGTGCGTCGCACGTTTTTTTTTTTTTTTTTTTTTTTTTTTTTTTTTTTTTTTTTTTTTTTTTTTTTTTTTTTTTTTTTTTTTTTTTTTTTTTTTTTTTTTTTATTTATATTTATTTATTGTTTTTTTTTTTTGTAAAAAAACAAAGTGGTCGACGCGCCAGCGGGCGAAAGTGCCGCTCTCGCCTGGGCGCCGCGCAGGTTTCGTTCGAGAGGGGCGCTCCCGCCCACGCGCGGCGCACACTTGTCACTCGCCAGGGTTTTTGGGGTCCGCGCGCGAGCGGAGCGGACGACTCGACGCCCTCGCCCAAGCTGCGTGCACGTTGCGTCTGGAAGTCCCACGTGGGCCCGGCGCCTGTCTCGTTCGCCGACTCGCAGACGAGCAGCAGCGGCAGCGGGGCCGCGGGCAAAATGCAGTCCTCGCCCGAGCGCCGCGCAATTTTCTCGCATGACCGTAGGAATGCCCCCTGCCAGCCCAGCGCAGGCTGCGCCTTCGCCACGCTCATCGGAACGTTTGCCGCTCCCGCCCTTGCGCGGCCCGCGCATTCTCACCTTCGCCGAGTCCTCGTCAGGGGGACCGTGCGCGAGCGAGCGCTTTGCGTTCGCTCGGTGGCAGCGCCTTCCGTTCGCCACAATGGATTCTCACTTGATGGGTGGGGCCAGCTGGCTCGTTCGACCCGGCTAACTCGACGTCTCACTCCTTATTCCTTGCTCCTGCACTCCTTCTCCTCCTCCTACTTCCTGACCCCCTTCCGTCTCCGTGGTCGTGGTCGCCGTCCTCGTCGTTGCAGTCGTGGTCATGGTCGTCGTCGCCGCGCTTGGGAGAGGGGCGTGGGAACCCTGGGGCCCATCCCTGCCCGGGGGCCAGGGAGCGGGCGTGGGCATCCGAACCCCACCCAAGGGGCTCATACATCCGGCGTGGCAGTACGCTGTCGGCGCAGCCCCTGGAGCTGTCTCTTCCCGTCCCCAGGTGTCCGGTTCCTGGTGCAGCCTAGCTCGAATCGTTCTCGACGGCCCTAACAGGTGTGTCTGTGTGTGTGAGAGGGAGTTCGCGCCAGCGTGTGTAGGCGGTGTATGGGGGCCGACGTGCGCGGCGTGCTATCGGCGGAACTGAGCGGGGGGAGCGCAGACACACAAGCACACAAGCACACAAACACACAAGCACACCAACGCACCAACACACAAGCACACAAGCACACAAGCAAACGAACACAAAGACACACAGACACAAAGACACAAAGACACATAAACACACAGACACAATGACACAACGACGCAACGACGCAAAGACACAAAGACACAACGACACAAACACAGCACACAAACACACACACAACCACACAACCAGATACAGTCACAAAGACAGCAAGGCACAAAGACACGAAGACACAACACACATGGACAAACACACAGCACACAAGCACACCAACACACCAGCATACAAACACACAACCACACAAACATACCAACACACAACACACACAAACACACAACCACACACAGACACAACCACACGCAGACACACAGACAGACACACAAAGACACAATCACACAAATGCACCGACACACGAACATATTGAAACACAAACGCACAAATACACAGGCACACAAACACACACACACAAACACACACACAAACACACACAAACACACAACACACACACATACACAAACAGACAAACACACACGCACAAAAGCACTAAACGACACAACACAACAACACAACAACACAAACCCACAAACACGAACACACACAAACCAACAACCACACAAACACACACAAACACGCCAACACACCAACACACAAACACACACGCACAAGCACACACGCAACCACACAGACACACAAACACACAGACACGCAAACACACAGACACGCAGACACAGAGGCACAGAGACACAGATAAACAGAGACACACAACCACACAAACGCACAAACGCACAATCACAAGCACACACAACCACAAACACACACACACACCAGACGGCCCAAGCGGCCCCAAGACGACCCCAGAAACCCTCAAGAGGCGTCCCAAGACGGCCTCAAAGAACACACATCGATCTATTTACACGCGAAAACGTGCAGTTTCAGCACATTCGCCTTTCGTACGTTCACAACGTCCAAAACGTCCTGGATCGCCCCAAGACGGCCCAAGATGCCCCAAATCAGGTTCCCAGACGGCCCAAGAGGCCACAAGGCCGCTGAAGAAACCCCCAAAACGGCCCAGAGGGGGCTCCAGGGCAGCCCCAAGAGTGGGCCCAGAGGGGGAGCCCGAACAAACATTTCGAGCCTTCGACCCCCCCCCCCCCCTCACAGCTGCCCCAAGAAGCCCCCAACACGCTCCCAGGGGGCTACGAAAGGCCCCTTAAAAAAGTTCCCAAGACGCCTCCAGGAGGGCAGCGAGCGGTTCAAAAACAGTTTCCCAATCGCCCCCGAGACGCCTCCTACGAGACCTCGTCTGCCACCCGCGTGGCATCAGACCCGCAGCCCAGGCACGGTGGCGGGATGTGCCGAAGGCCATTCGACCCGCCCAAAACGGCACAATAATGAACCAGTGGTGCGTCGGAGGCATAATTTCTTGCTTTCCTACGCGCACTTCGAAGAGAGGTACCGTTCCAAATCTGATTGACGCAGCCTGAAGGCTAGTCCACGGGCACTCCACTCTCGTCCAATCAGATCCGCCCCACCTCATGTCCCCTTCAACCACCTCCCCAACAAGCTCCTTCCGAGCACCATCTCGACCAAGCTTTCAAAACGATTTTAGCTCATGCGACGAAGGCCCTCTCGCGGCCTTCACGAACTCAACAAATACGCCCGCAAACAACATCCGACCAGACGGGTTAGGGACCTGTCTTCCAAGCCCCTTTCTGCCACTTCGGAACAATATGTACCCATGCTGCGTATTCATAGACACCCGCCTACTCGACAGACGGCCGACCCGAGTCAAAGACACCCCCCCAACTATCCCTGTCATCACGTTAGTCACAAGACAAAATGCAGCACGGTGTAGTGGCCTGTTACACGACGGCAGGGGGCATCATCAACGTGAGGGGGCCGAACGGTCATTCACTGTCCCTGGGCGCGTGGCTGAAGTGAGTTTCTGGGGTGCGGATTGTTGTTGTTGTTGATGTTGTTGTTGTTGTTGTTGTTGCTGTTGATCGTCGTCCCCACCGCGCGCGACCCGGCCCGCGACCCACCCGCGACCCACCCGCGACACACCCGCGACCAACCCGCGACCCACCCACCGACCCACCCACATTGCTAAGGAAAATCGGCGCCTACGGAGAGCTCGTTGCATAATTTGTACAAAAAAAAGCGCCTTCGGCGGGCTTCTTCAGAGCCTCGAGACTGCCGACGTCCCCGCCGCCCCCTCACTCTTATCCGCAACTGCGGGGTGCTATCACCCCGTGTGCGCAGGCCCACCATCCCTCTCAGGAAAAAAACACTGCAATGTGAACGTGGCGGCAAAGCGCCCCGACCCCTTGGAGTACCCTCAGGGTGTGAGATGCTTACCACTCCCCCGACCCCTCGCCCCATGCACTGGTCCTGTCGATTTAGAGGGAGGGGGGTCCGCCCGGATCTCACGGGCCTGGCCCCAACGCATCATGGGACAGAGGCCCCCACAATGTGCTCCGAATCGCTACACGATCGGTCCAAGACCGATCAAGATGGCTCCAAGATGGCCAAAGAAGCCTTCGAAACGCCCCAGGAAAGCTTCAAGAGCCTTCCCAAGAGGGCCCCGAGAGGCCAAAACCATTGAGCTCCCTTTGGTTTTTCAATATCTGCTGGGCTCTCGACTCTTCGAGCTTCCGACGCTCCAAGACGTCCCAAGAGGCCCCAAACACCGCGCCACGACGGCCCAAAAGGCCTCACGATGGCCCTAAGACGGCCCAAGAAGGCCGCAAGACGGCCCGAAAGGAGGCGCCCCCAAACGGCCCCGAGAATGGGAGGCCGAACCGACAATTCGAGCCTTCTGTCTCAAGATGCCCCCAAGCGGCCCCAAGAGGCCCCGCGAGGCCCCAAAGAGGCCCCCAAATCGCGCTAAGAGGCCCCAAACCGGCCCCCAAGAGACCTTTTAACTGCCTCAATGAGGCCCCTGATAGGCCTCCCACGACATCCCAACGAACATCCTAGAGGCCTATGAACCACAACCAGGCATGGTGGCAGGATGCGCAAGCGGCCGTTTGATATTCTTTCCCTGCCACCATCCCAGCACACCTGTAGAAACACTGACACGGAGTCCATGTTCTCCCTCTCGGCATGGACGTTCTGGGGTCGAGATTTCCCCCACACTGCGTGGCCCGAGCGGGGCGGGGTGCACATCCCGCGCGAAGAGGCGAAGTGCCGCTCTCGCATTCCGCGCCGCGCTCATGCTCCCGAGAGTTGAGCTGCCGCTTGGGCGCGTGCTCGTCGGACGAGACTGTCGCTCTGGTCTCGGCGCCGCGCAGGGCCTGCGCCCGACAGCGGCGTGTGCACCCCGGTGCGGCTCACACTTTTCCCTCGCCAAGTCGCGTGGGCCGAGGCGCGGGCAGGGCGACTCGCCGCCCTCGCCTGGAGAGGCGGCGTGTTTTCCGTGCGGGCGGGCAGGCAGCACGAAGGCGGGGGCGTGCGAGCGCGGGCCAAGAGCTGCCCTCGCCCCAGCGCCGCGCTTTCTTTCGGCGGTGGACAGACCTCCCTTTCGTCATACCTCCCCGTAATGAAAACGGCCTGGGACCGAAACCGACGGATCCGGGCCCGCAAAAACGACGGCCGCGACGCCCTCTCGCCGCGAACCGAAGACGGCCAACTCCTCAATCGGCGCGTCCAGGTAGGAGGCCCAGCCACCTCCGATCTTTGCGCGTGACAGTGGCGGTGCTGCTTCGGTGCGGCGCATGCCTCGTCGCCGCCGTGCTGATCGGAGACTTGGCCGCCTCTGGGCACAGGTGTGCGGAGGTTCCGCTCCCGCCCGCCAGTGCACGGACAGAGCATGCTCCCTCTCGCCAGGTCGTCGGAAGCGGGGCCGCGCGAGAGCGCCTTGCGTTCGCTAGGTGGCGAACGCGTCCGGCCCCAACACCAAACCGCGCCACCATGGGCTCGTATGTTATGGGAGGGGTGGGTGGGAAAGGGCGGGGCCCTCTGACTCGTTCCACCTGGCTGACTTGCCCTCAACACGTCCTCTTGCTTCCCACCTTTTCGACGTTGCTCGGGCTAGGTGTTGGCTGGAGCCATAGCGTCTGTGCGGCAACGCAAGGTACACACACAAAGAACGACTTGGGCGACGAGGCCCCCTTAGCGCAGCATGCAGCAGTGCGCTGGGTTGTGGGTGAGAAGTGTGACCACGAGAACAGGCCAGAGAAGATAAGCCCAGGCCCTCAAGTACAATGCATCGCTCCCCCCTCTGCCTCTGCTGAGGGCGATAATGGAGGGCTTGGCTCAGGGTGGGACACATCGACCTGGAATCGGCGATCCAGCCCCCATCGGCGACGAGTGGGCGACTCGGGGTCGATGCGTCCACCCCTGAGCCTAGCCCCATGACGTTGCCTGGTCTCGGCTTTCGGGGCTAGCTTGGCTTTCTGGAGGCCCTCTGGGACGATCCGGACACCCCCGCAAAGCCCTCGGCGAGGCGCAGCTGCTGGAGCGTCACCCCGATGCACCCCGAGGCTGGAGCGCCGCCGAGAACCGACGAGAGCGCTCGACAACCTCGAATACCTCAAACCTCTGCTTCCCCCTCTCCCTCTACCAGAAGCCTCCTAGATGAGGTCCGGCCGCATTACCGATGTATCGGCGGTGCAACGGCGACGTCAGCGACGCATCGGCGACGTCGGCATGGAGAAGGTTGGGCTCCACATCGAGCCGCACCGGCGACACTGCGCAACGCTCCGACCCCAGCTGCTCAGACCCCGCGCGGGAGGCCCCGGAAGTTTCCCCCCCTCTTCTCTCCCCTTCAGGCCCCCCCCCTTTCCCCCCCCCCTCCCCCCCCTCGTGCCCCCTCCCCCCTCGTCGAAGTTTTTCCCGCCGGGAGGCCGGAAGTTCCCCCCTCCCCTTTCTCTCCCCTTCAGGGCCCCCCCCCCCCTTCCCCCCCCTCCCCCCCCCTCGTGCCCCTCGCCCCTCGTCGTGCCCCCATCAACCCCCTCGTGCCCCCCCCCCCCCCCCGCAGGCGCGCCGGCGCGCTCGGGCCCCCGCCGCCGCTGGCCCGCCGCTGGTCCTCCGCCGCCCAGTGGAGCTTCAGCCTGCGCACCTCTCGCTCGCGCGCGGCGGAGGCGAGGAGGAGGGGGAGAGGAGGAGGAGGAGAGGCGGAGGAGGAGGAGGAGGAGGAGGAGGAGGAGGAGGAGGAGGAGGAGAGGAGAGGAGGAGGAGGAGGATTAGGGGAGGAGTAGGAGGAGGAGGAGGAGGAGGAGGAAGAGGAGGAGGAGGAGGAGGAGGAGGAGGAGGAGGAGGAGGAGGAGGAGGAGGAGGAGGAGGAGGAGGAGGAGGAGGAGGGCGGGGCAGCGGGGACGCCGGCCCCTCCCAGGGGGCGCGCCCCGACCGGGGCCTCGGGGCGAGTCCGGCGGTGGCGACGTGGGCCTCCCGGGAGGCCCCCGCCAGGAAGGGGAACCCGACCAGCCACCACTGGGGGAGCTGTGGTCCGCACCCCCCTGGGGGAACCCATCGTATCGACGATCTCTCGAGAGGGATGTCGAAATCGATGGGTCCCCCAGGGGGGTAAGGACCACAGCTCCCCCAGTTGTGGCTCCCCTGGGAACACGAGGGCAGGGCAGCGGCATCGGCATCATCGCCTCCTCTGCGTGAAGGGGGGGTGCTGAGAGAGAGAGAGAGAGAGAGAGAGAGAGAGAGAGAAAGGGCAGAAGAGCCCAGCATTGAGTCGAGCAGCCGCCTCGGCGATCGAAACAAATCGGGTCGGCGGGAAACATCGGCTGCCAAGTCGGAAGTCGAAACGATGAAGATCGCCAGGCCAGGAAAGCCTCCACTGAGAAGCCGGAGTCCACACGGGAATCCGAAACCGAAACGAGTCAGGATCGGAACCGGTGGAAGTCAAGCCGACTCGAATCGGAGGAGTCGGCATGAGGCCTGCCTGGATGGGGGGCGGGAGGGGGAGAGGAGCAGAGCTAACGAGAGGAGGGAGAAAGACAGAAAGAGAAAGAGAGAGAGAGAGAGAGATAGAGAGAAAGAGAGAGAAAGAGAGAAATGAAGCAAGTGAGCGACTGAGAGAGAGAGAGAGAGAGAGACAGAGAGAGAGAGAGAGAGCGAGAAAGAGAGAGAGAGAGAGAGAAAGAGAGAGAGAGAGAGAGAGAAACGAAAAACGGGGAGAGAGAGAGAGAGAGAAACAGATAATAAAAAGGGATAGAGAGAGAAAGAGAGAGAGAGAGATGAAAAAAAAAGAAACAGAGAGGGAGACGTGGTGTGTACTCCGTCGCCGCTGGGGTGCTGCTCCGCCCTGGGCCACGTTGGCGTCGTGTGCTGGTGCGTGGACCTCGACCCCCCTCCCCGCCCCAGTGAAAGAGATTTCGTCGCCCTTCGCGGCCCCCTCGCCGCCCTCCGTGGCCCCGTCGCTGCCCTCCGCGGCCCCGTCGTTGCCCTCTGCGGCCCCGCACTACCTGCCCTTCGTGGCCCCCGCTCGTTCGCGCCCGTCGCGGCCCCATACGCAAGCCCTTCGCGGCCCCGCTGTCGCCTTTCGGGGCCCCTTTTCCTGCCCTTCGTGGCCCCGCTGTCGCTCTCGCTCCCGCTCTCGCTCTCGCTTTCGCTCGTCGTCGTCGTCGTCGTCGTCGTCGTCGTCGTCGTCGTCGTCGTCGTGGTCGGTCCCCTGTCCGTCCCTCCTGGGGCCGGGTTGCCGCTGATCAGCGCTGCCGCTGGCCAGGCCGACGGTCTGCGGCTGCCCCGCCGCTTGCTGGGGCCCAGCCTGCAGGGAAGAAAGATATACCCCCCAAAGGGGTACGATCGAAGACGACAAGGGCGAGTATCGAGGGTTTGGGGAATACGCGTAGAATCACACTCGAACAGATAAGAGCGAACAGTCTTAACATGATTGTCGTTGTTGTTGTTGTTGTTGTTGTTGTTGTTGTTGTTGTTGTTGTTGTTGTTGTTGTTCTCTATTTTCTGAAGAATAATTATTGTTGATCCCCCTTTCACCGGTGCAAGCCGTTTTTTCTCCATCGAAGTGTGCCCCTCGACGCTCGCACCCTGTTTTTTGACAGGGTAAATCTTCCTGCTCAAACTGGGCCCTGACTCCCCAGATTACAACAACAACGGCTCCCGCCTGAGATTTCCTCCGAATTTACTCAGGACCCCCGCTCCTGAGACTTCCCCACAATTTACTCAGGATCGGTGCTCCCGCCTGTGCTTTCCTCGCAATCCCACCAGCCCTCTGGGCGTCGGTGGTTTAGAGCGTTTCCTGTTCCACCCCTCCTTCTTCCCCTTCGGGGAAGGGTTTACCCCTCCCCCCACCCCCTCCCCACTGACCTGGACAGGGGTTCCGCGGCGCGTTGGAGCGTCCAAGATCGACCCCTGGGAGGGCTAAAATTCGACACCCCTCACGAGGATCGTGGCTCCTGAGGGGGGGACTGTAATCAGGGAGCCCCCCTTCGTTGATCGATCTCCTCCAAGATGGCTCCGAGGCCCCCCAAGAGGCCCCCAGGAGGCCCCCAAGAGGCCCCCAAGAGGCCCCAAGAGACCCCCCAGAGGCACCCAAGAAGCGCCCAGGAGGCCCCAAGAAGCGCCCAGGAGGCCCCCAAAGGCCCCAAGATGGCCCCAAGAGGCCCCCAGGAGGCCCCAAAGAGGATCCCGAACGGCCCACAGAGGCCCCCCCGAGGCACCCAAGACGCCGAAAAGCCCCTCAGGACGACCCTCTACTCGCCTGGGCGTCGTTTCTGGACGGGCTGGTGGGGATACGCGACGCGTCTAGAATTTAGTCAGGACCCCCACTCCCATCTGAGACTTCCTCACAATTTACTCAGGAAAGGCGCCCCCGCTTGAGACCTCCGCACTTGAATCAAGACTTCCTCGCAATTTAATCAAGACCCCCGCTCCCGCCAGAGAGCCCCTCACATTTTATTCAGGAATTGCGCTCTCGCCTGTAATTTCAATGCAATTTATTCAGAAATTGCGCTTCGACGCTCAGGAAACACGCTGCGCCAAGGACGCCGTTACAATTTACTAAGTAATCGCGCTATCGCCATACTCAGGCATCCCGCTTGAATGTCCCACCCGCCCGACCCGCCCGTCAGTGGATCGCCCGCCCGTCGTGGGCTCCCGCCCGAGACTTCCTTCAGGAACGGCGCTTTCGCCTAGGACTTCCTCGAACGTTCACGCTCTTACCTGCCTGCTCCTCCTCCCTCCCCCTCCTCCCTCCCCCTCCTCTCCTCCCTCTCTCTCCCTCCTCTCTTCCCTCATCCTTCTGCCTCTCTGCCCTATCCCCTCTCTGTTCTCTCCCTCTTCCCTTCTCCCACTCCTGTCCTACCTCCTCCCTCCCTTTTTTTTTTTTTTCTCTCTCTCTCTCTCTCTCCCCTCTCCCTCCCTTTTTCTACCTCGCTTATCTGTGTTTTTCTTCCTTTCTCTCTCTCTCTGCCTCTAATCAACCGCCCCCCTCTTCGCTCCTTCTCTTCTGTGATCGAAAACAACAACGGCGGGTACCGGGCAAGTGAAAGCGAAAAATCTTAGAATGATTGTGGTTGTGGTTGTGGTGGTTTTGGTTTTGGTTTTGGTTGCCTCTTCGGCTTTCCGATACTCCAAGACGGCCCAAGAGGCCCCCAGAACCACCCCAAAACGGCCCAAGAGGCCTCCAAGAGGACCCCAAGACCGCCTAAGGGCGCCCCAAGACGGCCCAAGAGGCGCCCAAGACGGCCCAAAGTCGGTCTAACAAAATACCCCAGAGAGGGGAACACGAACCGAAAATTCGAACCTTCCGCCCGAGGCCCTAGAAGGCCTCAAAGAGGTTCCCAAGAGACTACAAGAGGCCCCCAAGAGGCCCAAACGAGGCCCCAAGAGGCTCCAAAAAGGCCCCCAAGAAGCCTCCACACTGCCTCCAAGAGGCCCCCCACAGGCCTCCCGCGAGATCTCAACGAACATCCAATAGATTTCATATCCACAACCCAGGCACGGTGGCAGGATGGACCGAAGGCTACGAGGAGGAGCCGGAGGACGCAGAGTAGCAGGAGTACGAGGAGGAGCAAGAAAGAGGACGAGGAAGAGGAGAAAGCTGCCAGGCAGCATCGCCCCGGAGGAGCTGCTAAGGCAGCCGCTGCTTTAGCAGCTCATCCGAGGGGCCATAGACAAAACACAGCACAGCAATATCAGAGTGACGGTATGACAATCCCTGGCTGCGGAACTGCAATGGAATTCCGCCGTGTGGTTTGTCGTTCTTAGTGTCGTCGACACCTGCCCGCCTCGATCCACCTGCGACCCGCCCCGCGACGCACCCGCGACCCACCCCGCGACCCACCCGCGACCCACGCCCGCGACCCACGCCCGCGACCCACGCCCGCGCCCCCCCCGCCCGCCCCCCAACACACACACACACACACACACACACGCACACGCACACGCGCGCACACACGCACACACAGACAAATACACACATACACATACACGCACACACGCGCACACACAACACGCACTCACGCACACACACACAGCACACACGCACGCACACAGACACACACTCGCGCAAAGACACAACACACACAACACACACAACACACAACACCCAACACCGAACACCCAACACACAGCACACACAACACACACCACACATAAGACACACTCACAACACACGCACAAACACGCCAAACACACACACACACACATCACGCACACAACACACACACACCAAAACACATCAAACACACACGCGAGCACGCACACACGCACTCACGCACACACACACACACACACACGCACGCACACACCACACACACAAACACACAAACACACAACACACAACACCCACACACAAAAACACACACACAAATACACACACGCAAACACGCACGCACGCACGCACGCACGAGCGCGCCCGCACGCACACGCACGCAGCCGCACGCACACGTACGCACACGCATGCACACGCACGCAAACGCATGCCCTCCCCCCACCACACACGCACAAGTGCACACACACACAAGCACACGCACACGCACACATACACACACGCAAACACGTACACACACCCTCACACTCCCATACATAGAAACACCCACCCACCTACATGCACGCTCACCCACACACACACACACACGCACACAAACACACACACACACACGCACGCACGCATGGACACGCACACGCACACGCACACAACACAGCACGCACTCCACGCACACACACACACACACACACGCACACGCACACAGGCACGCAACCAGGCACGCACACACACACACACACGCACGCACGCACGCACGCACGCACGCACGCACGCACGCACGCACGCACGCAAGCACACACACACCACACACGCACGCACGCACGCACGCACGCACGCACACACCACACTCGCACGCACGCACGCACACAACACTCAAACTCGCACTCACACGACACACACACACACACGAAAACACACGAAACACACGAAGACACACGAACACACGAACACAGCACACACACACACGCACACACGCACATACGCACACACACACCACACACGCGCACACGCGCACACACACGCACACACGCACATACGCACATACGCGCACGCACACGCGCACACACACACGAGCACACGCACACACACGCACACAGCCACACACGCACACAAGCACACACACACACACACGCACAAACACACACACACACACGCGCAAACACGCACACACGCGCACACACGCGCGCTCACACGCGCAAACACGCGCACACACGCGCACATTCACGTACACATGCGCACACACGCGTACATACGCGCACATTCACGTACACATGCGCACACGCACTCGCATACTCGCGCACGTACGCGCACACACACACACACACTCACACACAACACACAACACACACACAACACACACACACACGAACACACGAACACACGCACACACGCACACACACAAGCACACGAACTCGCACACACGCGCACACACGCGCACGCATGCGCACACACGCACACACACGCACATACACACACGCGCGCACACACATCCACACACCCACACACACACATTGTTGTGCTAAAGAACGTCGTCTGCTCCTAGATACTGGTTTCCGAGCCTCGCGACGTGCCGAAGATGCGCACCGCGACCCACACACATTGTCTTACAGAAGAATCGTCGCCTGCGCTGGCTCTACATTCACTCTCGAGCCCCACATCCCCGGCAAAGCCGCCGTGGAGCCTGCCGTCTCACCCTCATCCCCAAAATTCCGAAGGTTCGGGCAAGTACGACCAAGACTCTTAAAATGAAGCCTGAGGACTAGGGATAGACCTCCCCGCCTTCCCCATCGGCATCGGGGAAAAGGAGGATCCGTCAGCATCGAATCGGGAAATCGGAGCGAATCGGAGCACACATCGGATCGGGCTGCGTCGGCACTGAGTCGAAGTTGAATCGGATCGGCAGCGCCAAGATGCCCAACGACGCCAGGCAAGCGTCGGGCCGCGTCGGATCGCCACAAACATCGAACTCGGATCGGATCGAGCCGGCCAGAGTCGATATCGAATCGGATCGATAGGATTAAGTCGGGCGTGTCCCCCGACAGGGGTTTTTTGGACGAAAAATAAAACATACTAAAACAAATACTCAAAAGATGCCCAAAAATACTCAAAGAACAGTCCCCAGACTATTTTTTTGACTATTTTTGAATATTCCCCCTGTAGAGGGACAGACAGGCCCGACTTAAGGATAGGATCGAAATGGACCCTGGAGGAGTGGGGAGAAGAAAAAGAAGCCGAGCGCAGGGGCCCCGCACCGGCCCCACGGTGGTGGCCGGCGCGGCGGTGGTGTGCGCCGCCGGAGTGGCGGGCGGCGCCACCGCCAGGGCCGCGGCCGTCGTCGTTGCAGACCTGGTGGTCGGGGTGAACTCCTTGCCGCAGCCGCTCTCTTCACCCTCTTCGCGACGCGGACGTGTGCTCAAGGCTGAACCTAAACGGTGTTTTTCGATTTCGTTTTGTTTTCGTTTTCCCTCGTTTTGTCTTCAACTCACCTCTCCCGCAAAACGAAGTCGAAACGAAAACGGCCCACGAAATCGCCAAAGCACCGTTTAGGTCCAGCCCTGCGTGTGCTGCCCTGGCGTCTGGGATTCGCGCCGCCAGAAACAGCACGACGGGCGGTGCTCTTTTTTTTGGGCCTCGGGATGCGTCGGAGGATCAGGGCCCTCAAGGATTGGTCCTGCTCGAACCAAAAGATCAGGCACGAAGATGGGGTCGACAACCCTCTTTTTTTTCTTTCTCTCTCTCTCTCTATATATATATATGTATATATCGGGCGGAGACATAAAACGTGAGACCTAAATCTGCACCTTGCCTTCATCACGTAGGGGAGTGCCCCAAGGCTCATACGTACAAATGTGCGTTTGAGGGGATGTAGGGAAAGGTCCCCGCAGAAGCTCTGTCGAAGCGGACGTCTGCCAAAGTGGAGGTCTCCCGAAACGAACATCTGCCGAAACGGATTTCTGCCGACGAGGACTTCTCTCCCTTCAAGAGGCTTCCATAATGTTTCCTGTTCACGGCGCCAGCACGGCTGCGGGTTGGGGCAATGGTTGTGAGATTCAGAAAGACCTGGGACACCTTTTCACACGACCTTTCCGTAACCGAAGCTTCATCAGAGGAATGTGTGGCCCACTCAAGGCAATACTGAATGACAACCTGCATCTGTTTTGCACTAATACGCAGCAGCTGGCGTCACAACCTACATCTTAACGACATCACTACACGCGAACAAAACAGCGACAACATTGAAACCGTCATGCGCCTCCACCTTGATTCAATCAAAAACAATCGTAAGGATGCAACGTAGGGGTGTGTGGCACCCGTAACGTGCAAGCAGAAGCAGACACGTTACACAAAATGCCCAAACAGAAAGATACAAAGGGTCCCTTGCTTCAACGGCTCATCCCTAAAACCCGGTTCTGTCTTGAGCAGCGCTCTTCAAGCGTGGTGAGAAAGAAGGTGACTGCACTGGTTCATCGGCGATACGGTCCGATCCTCTGATTCCATCTGCTCCGGCCCCGATTATCTGTCTAAGCGGCGACATCCGAACCCCACCCCCACCAACCATGAATTCCCCGGAATCGATGGGAGGCGGAGGTAGGGCTCGGATTTCGGCAAGCATTCGACGCATCCCCATCCCTTCCCCGCCGCCCATCCTGGGTGGCCTGAATCGTTGATCGGCGAGGGCAAGGTTCGGACTTTGCCGCCGACAATCGACGTGAAGGACCGAGCTCTTGGTGGGCCCTGGACCCCCAGGGCTTCCCACGGGACCGGATCTCATCCCCAACAGTTTCTTGCCACGGGGGAGGGGCCCCCGGATGCCTGTTCCCTGCAGGACCCCCAGGGCTCCTTCGCGGCAGCCCTGGACACACCGACGGCCCTCTGGGCCCTCGCCGGGAGCGCGTTCTGACCAGGGCTTGCTTCGTGGGGTACCCTAACCTCTGCAACGAAGCAGGAAGCCTCCGAGGCGGACCCCGACAGCGGCCGTGCATCGACCTGGGGCACAGCGAAATGAGGGGAGACACTTGCCGTGGGAGTCCGGGCCCACGGCAACCCACAGGCCACCTGCGCATCTGGAGACCACCTCAACGGGGCCGCAACAGCACGGGGTCGGGGCAGCGCGCCACGCCGCCGACGCGCCGGCGACGCCGCCGTGGAGCAGACCGTGCGCGGGACGGCGCCGAATCGCCGATGCCGTCGGCGGTGAGGCGCGGCCCCCCGGACCCCCATCCTGGTCGGGCCCCGCTCGGGGGGGGGGGGCCTGGAGTTCAGTCGGGCCTGTCCCCCTACAGGGGGATTATGGGCGAAAGATTGACAATACTAAATCAATGCACGCTAAATGGGGGAAAACGATCGAAATACCAAATAGATACACCCTAAATGGGGAAAAAACGATCAAACAATCGCGCCCAGAGTATTTTTTGATTATTTTTGAATCTCCCCCCCCGTAGAGGGACAGGCCCGACCCCCATCCTGGTCGGGGCCCCGCTCGGGGGGGGGGGGGGGCGGCCCGGAGGCCTGCCGCCCCGCGGCGTGCTCCCGAGTGCCCGCTCGCGGCCACGCACAGAGGCTCCGGAGGGGAGCGGCCTCCACGCGGGCGCTGCCCGATGGGGGGGGGGCGCACTCTCGCCATCGCTTGGACGTCCATTCCCTGTGCATGTTTCGGCTCCGTGCGTGTATTTTTTTTTTGCTCAGGCTGGCCCGTGCCCCGGACCCCCCTCTCGGCGACAGCTTTACGCGTCTGCCCGCGACCACAAAAAATGCATTTTTTTGCAACGTGAACAAGCATGCTCCTCGATGCCCCTTGCCGATTAAAAACATGCACACGCCCGAGCGCTGCCACGCACGGCGCCAAAACGGGGTGGGCGACGGAAGGCGCGCCCCTCGTGCACCCCCTGGGGCCCCAGGAGGGCCCCCTCCTCCTCCTCCTCCTCCTCCTCCTCCTCCTCCTCCGCCTCCGCCTCCGCCTCCTCCTCCGCCTCCGCCTCCGCCTCCGCCTCCGCCTCCGCCTCCGCCTCCTCCAGGGCCCCTTTCCTGCAGGCTTCCACCCTCGAGCCTCGCTCCTCGTCGACTGGTCTTCGGGCCCGCTCTGCGGCGGCCGCGCGGGACGACCCAGGCCACCCCCCCGGGGAGCTCTCGGCGAGGCGCAGCGGCCAGAGCGCACCCCGAGGCAGGAGAAACCCATGAACGCCGACGAAAACGACCGAAAACCTGGCAATCCACCCACTCCGGCTGCAACGCAAGAGTGACCCTACGCAACAAGGACCTCTCATGCGCGGCGTAACGGGGCCGCGGGGTGGGCACACCGGGGTGCGCGAGCTGCTGCTACCGCTACGCGTTCAACGAGCGGGGGTCCCTATAGCCGACGAATGCCCCCCCCTCGAGGCCTCCTAGATGGGGACGGAGGGTCCCGCCGCATCGCCGATGCATCGCGGATGCATCATCGACGCCTGCGATGCATTAGCGACATCGGCTTGGGGAAAGTCGGGCTCCACGATCCTCCGCCCCCCCGTCGCCGATCCATCTTGGCGGCCCAGACCCCCGCCCAAGGAAGAAGGGGGGGGAGGAGGGAGGAGCGAAGAGAAGGAGAATGAGGAGGGGGGCAGGACGGGAGGACGGGAGGAGGAGGAGGATGAGAGAGGGAAGAGGAGGAGGAGGAGGAGGAGGAGGAGGAGGAGGAGGAGGAGGAGAGGAGGGAGGGGAGGAGGAGGGCAGGATGGAGGAGGAGGAGGAGGAGGAGGAGGAGGAGGAGGAGGAGGAGGAGGAGGAGGAGGAGGAGGAGGCGGAGGAGGAGGAGGAGGAGGAGGAGGAGGAGGAGGAGGGAGGAGGAGGAGGGAGGAAAGGGGAGGAGGGGGGAGAGGGGGAGGGCACTCTCGGGTTTAGGGCGTCGCCGGGTGCGCGAGGACGGAGACGTCGAGCGTGGGTTACTCCTGGGGGGGGGGGGGGGGGGGGTCGGGGGTCGTGGCCTCCCCTCGCGGCCCTGGGCGGGCCGTGCTGCAGCGCTGCGGTTGGCACGGGGCCTGCCCGCTCTGCCCCGCAGAGAGCTTCCGAGGGCCCGCACGCAGGGCACCCGCTGAGACGACGCCAGGGCAAGGGCAACACCGGATGATCCGGTGTTGCCCCGCTGGGATTGGGGCACACATCGTCTCAGTCCGGATTGGGATCCGGACTGAGACGACGCCAGGACCGGCAGGGGCATCCGCTGAGACGACGCCAGGGCTGAGACCCGGGGCAACACCGGATTGGGACAGGAATCGGGGATTTCGGGGATGGACAGACCCCCCTTTAGCACAACGTGGTTTAGTGAAAACGACCAGAGGCCCAAACCTGGGGGGCGAGAAGCCTGGGAAATGACGGCCGCGGCGCCCTTTCGAGAACCGAAAACGGACAATTCACTAATCGACGTGTCACTGTTGGGGGTTCTGTCCACCCCCGAGGATTGGGATAGGAATCGGGGATCTCTGAGATCCGGCGGTTCTGGAGGATCTATCTCGGCTGCACGCAGGAGTGACCCTGAGGTAAGAGGGACGTGACCTTCAGTGCGCGGCTTTTGGGGGGCCGAGGGGGACCAAACGCAAGCGCGCAAGACGCTACCACCGCATCGCGTCCGGCGATCGGGGGACCCCGTTTGGCCCGCACCAGAGGTCACTCCGGCGCAAGGTCACTCTTACGTCTAGTCGGCCATCGGGCGCCGCGGCTCTGGAGCGATGTAGCCCGGTCCCAGTTCCGCCCGGATCTGCGCGCCTTCGCGGCCCCTCTCACGGAGACCCACCCGGACTGCCGACGGGCGGTCCAGAGTGCAGGCCGACGCTTTGCTGCGTTGGACGGTCCATGTGCCCCTCGTTGTCCGTCGGCCTTCGGCGGTCTTCTGCGCGCTGGATGGCTGCGTTTCCCAAGGGGGTCCCTGATAGTACACCTGAGCTGTCTACAGTCGGACCTGATTGGACGGGACACCCGAGAGGACACAAGACTTTTCCAATGGCAACGTGGCCCTCGAACACCGAAAGGCATGCGGGTTGCATAGGTCGGGATATACAGGTCACTAGGGTACCCTCGATTTGGCATGGTCGACCTACCAATCAGGGCCGACTGAGTATTCAAGCTGAGCCGCACTGGAAAACATAACCCAATGAGTAGACTTACGCACGAGCCTGGAACTCCGAACCGCCGGGCAAAGATGTCGTGAAACATTCACTGATACACCAATTGAGAAGTAGCACGGGCTGGTCCAACATGCAAACGCAAACTTGCACTTCTTACTTCTGCTTTTAAATTATGGACGCTTCGCATATTCCCACCAGCCGGCGGTGCCGTACGGTAGCCTGGCTGGGCTCGCGGCCTGCCCCTTCGTGGCTCGCTGTGGCAGCGACCTTCGGCGGACTACGCGGTCCTTGAGCTGACCTGGCGGATGGTGCCTGCGTGCCGTACGCGCACTCCACCCCCGTACTTGCCGCCACTTTGTGACGGTAAAGCTGCCCGCATTGGACTGGATTGGGTCAGCCTTCATACAAGTTCCTGTTGTTCGGCAAGGGACGGTCGTCCCCCACCCGATGTGAGCGTGAGCCGCGGCTTGCCTTCTCTTCTGTTTCGCCTCGTTTCTCTTTCGTCTCCGCTCGTGCTCTTTTGTTCGCTCTTTCGCCTTCTTCCTCTGTTTCGTCGTTCGCCCTCGCCCCTGCCGCGTTGCCGCTGCGCTTCTCCTGGTAATTTTCGCCACCATCGTGGTTTTTTTTTCCTGCGCTTCGCTGGCGACAATTGCGCTGCACGCCTTGGCCCTGTGCTGTTCGACCCTGTGACGGTGCGCGGCTGCCTCCGCGTCACTCGCAATCAAACAAGTATTCCCACCAGACCATCCCAAACCGACGACCAGGCGAGTTGAGATGATCATGGAAGAGTAGGATTTACATGGGGGACAGTCGTGTTCGTTCGAGTGAGGAGGAAGAGGGAGACGCGGCGCCCGCCAGGCACTCTCTACGCCGAATCGGGCATCTTTATCTTTTAGTTGGCTCCAGCAAGGAAGCTTCAGCCACGTAGCCAAAGTCTGAGCAACGTCAAAAAGGAGGAGGGGGAGGAGGAGAAGGAGGAGGAGGAGGAGGAGGGAGAAGGATGATGAAATTGCGGATGAGGAGGAGCAAAAGGAGGAGTAAGAGTAAGAGTAAGACAAATAATAGGAGTAATGTCCAAGACTACCTTACACTCTGAGCGCTTTTCTGCATGTCTAGTGGATTCCGTTCGCTTGGCCGCTGGTAACGGTGCCGGGCCAATTCGAACCTGAGCCTCAGGAGCTCGGGGTGGTACAGAAGCAAGACCTCGGCCACCACGTCTACGGCCAGGGATAGCATGCCTCAGTGCTGTGTTCCTATGATCACCCAGTCTAGCTTGGTCTCGTTCGTGTGCCATGCCCTGATCTCTCAGGATTAGAGCTTCCTCCTTCAATATCGGTATCGCGTACTGCTCCAGCCAATCGATACAATGATTCCCAGCGCTCCTCAGTTGCTTGATCAACAATGAGCGTGCGCCAGAGGTGACGCCACAGGTGCCACACTGGGGTCCTGGGGCAAGAGGCGGTGCGGAGTCGATAGGTTCATGCTGAAGTTGATGGCGCTCCCATGCAGCTGAAGTAAGGAAGGTCTCCTCACACGAGTAGCAGATGCAGTGGACTTCCTCAGATAGAACGGGCACCGAGGGACTAAACTTTCAGCTGATCTGTTCCATCATGAACTGCGTGCGTTGCTGATCCAACACCAACTGAAGGCCCCTCTGCCAGGCTAACTTGAGCATGGTGGCGTATTATCAAAGTGATGCCCTAGCAAACTGTAACCAGCTTGCCAATGACCATGAGGTGACATCATTGCGCTGCACAAGAGAGGACATCCAGAGCAGGTCGCCCCGAATTCCAAGAGCCCAGCTGGTCGGCGAATTGGTCTAATAGAAAGAACGCCCACGTCGGAGCATGTGAGACGAGTGGCCCAAAGTAAGATAGGCGCCTCTTGCGCAAAACCAACTGTTTGCGAGCACGTCGGGCTTCTACCAATACGTCCAGGTCGGACACGTATTCAGTAGTTTCGGCATGACAGGCACGGCCTCGGAGTACGTGATAAGGACACACTCTAGTCTTATCCAAAATGGCGAATTGCGGTGCGATAAGCTTTGGCCATGCTTCGCCAAGGTATGTCAGATGAACGTTCCCGAACACATCGGCAATGTTCGCTTGGCCATGGGAGAGAGGTGCCCAAGTCGATTACATGCTCTCCTTAGCGGCCAGAAGGCTGCCCTCTGCTTGTCGGCCAACGCTGCCAACCTCGTACTCATACTGGCTTCCGATTCAAGTCTAGTGCCAAAGTGCGTGTATGTATTGGTGATGTTGATTCTCGCACTCCACATAGGCGAGACCAGTACCATAGAACGGTCAACTTCAGTTTCCCTTTGCAAGTGCTTGGGGCCAGGTCCACCAGGTACGATCATCGTAGAACTCTTGGCGGGCTTGTAGTTCACCGTGCACCCATGGCAGAGCACACAGTCACGTACTGCATCAGTATGCCCGCGATCTCAATCACCTGCAAAGTCGTAGGAGGAGAAAGCAAGAATAGAGCATTGTCCACGAAACTGATGTCAATGATCGGCTCAGGGGCATAACCGTCCGATACCTGCTGAATCATACCGTCGGGCAGTAGAGGTAGCGCTGCATCGAGAGAGTGTATCTTCTCAGCGATTCATGCGTGAGGTCGCTGAAAAAAGTTACAAGGTAGCACACGCCAAGGAACTGCCTGGTCTGGAACCTCGACGTGAACGAGCTACGGTCGTGCTGGCCTGAGTTCCGAACTGCGTACGACGGTGACCCCCAATCAAGAGGCCGCACGCAGGAAGTGCCGATGGCGGAGCGAGAATGAACGTGGCGATGGGTAACTTTGCGATTGGAAGATTGGATTCCCCTCCCTTAGTGGGCCCTGGAAACGACAAGACCGTTTTTTTTCCGGTTCCGTTGTGCCGTTTTCTTGCCGGGTCCGACGCCGTCTTTTTACCGGTTCCGTCGCCGTTTTTTGACCGGTTCCGGCTCCGGTTCCTATCCTGGCGCCGTTTTTTTGCCGTTTCCGGTCGCCGGTTCTTTGCCGTTTCCCTTTTCGAGGGACATTTTTTTCTGGCAACGGTGAAAAAAACGGCCCTGCCGTTTCCGGGGCCCACAGAAGGTCCCGGGCGACGAGGATGACGCCGACGACGACGACGACGTCGTCTACGTCGTCTACGACGTCTACGACGACGGCGACGACGGCGACGACGACGACGGCGACGACGGCGACGACGACTTCGGGCCCACGAAGCCCCCTCCCTCCTCAGGCTCCTCCGGCTCCCCCGGCTGCTCCGAGATCCGACGACGACGGCGAACCGGCGCGCTCGCGGCGCATGTCCGTAGGTGACGCCCACCTGGTTCGGGGGCACCTCCAGCTTCTTCGCCTCTCCCCCGGCGGGCTGCGCCTTCGCGCCCTGCTGCTGCTGCTGCTGCTGCTGCTGCTGCTGCTGCTCCCTCCTCGTCGTCGTCCTCTTCCTCGTCGTCGTCCTCCTCCTCCTCCTCCTCCTCCTCCTCCTCCTCCTCCCTCTCCTCTCCCTCCTCCTCCTCCTCCTCCTCCTCCTCCTCTCCTCCTCCTCCTCCTCCTCCTCCTCCTCCTCCTCCTCCTCCCTCCTCCTCCTCCTCCTCCTCCTCCTCCTCCTCCTCCTCCTCCTCCTCCTCCTCTCCTCCTCCTCCTCTCCTCCTCCTCCTCCTCCTCCTCCTCCTCCTCCTCCTCCTCCTCCTCCTCCTCCTCCTCCTCCTCCTCCTCCTCCTCCTCCTCCTCCTCCTCCTCCTCCTCCTACTCCTCCTCCTCCTCCTCCTCCTCCTCCTCCTCCTCCTCCTCCCTCCTCCTTCTCCTCCTCCTCGTCTCCCTTGTTCCTTTTCTCCCTCCCTCCCTCATAGTCCCCCGTCGTTTTCCTCTCTCTTCCTTGCCCGTCGTTTTTCTCCCTCCTCGCTCCTCCAGCCCACTAGAAGCCCCTCTGCGACCCTCCGAGGCGCCCCTGCGACCCCCTAGGGGGCCCCCCTTAGAAGCCCCCCAGAATGACCGGCGTGCTCCAGGTACCCTCCCTGCTGCCCCTGCAGTGACACCCCCCGAGGCCCCCAGATCCCTCTCCCTCCTCCCTCCCTCCGAAGTGCCTGGCAAGGCTCCCGGCGCAGGCGGCGCAGAGCACCCCCCCCTCCCCCCGACGTCCTCCCCTGCGCCGCGCGGAGGGCCCAACTCAAGCCGCTTCCGTCCCTTGACGGGTCCGCTTCGGGTCGCTTGCACCCTCGTGCAGGGCCCGACTCGGGCCGCCTGCGCCCCCTGCGTGGCCCGACTCGGGGCCGCGTCCGCTGCCGTGCAGGGGCCCCTTCCCTCCCCCCCCGCGTCCTGCGGGAGCGGCCGCGGCTGCGCGCACTCCTTGATGCCGTCGCACCTCTCGGGGCGGCCCCGCCGCCCGCCACCCCGGCGTGCGCCGATCGCCCCCCCTCCCCCCTCCCCCTGGCCTCCCCTCCCTCTGCCGCGGGAGGGCGCGGCGAGGGCGGGAGACGAAGGGAAGAACTGAGTTCGATCCCTCCTCCTGTCGTGCAAGCGAGTGAGAGGGAGGGAGAGGGAGGAGGAGGAAGGGGAGGAGGAGGAGGAGGAGGTGGAGAAGAAGGAGGAGGGACACGCGGGAAGAGGAAGAGGAGGTGGGGGGGGTGGGGTGGGAGGGAAAGGAGGGAGGGAGATCAAAGGTGCTTCGCCTCGTCCCTGCGCACGGTGCTAGAACCCTCGTTGGCATGAACTAGATCGACAATACTCGGCCGAATTCCAAGGAGGAGGAGCAGCGGGAGGAGGAGGAGGAGAAAGAGGAGGAGGAGGAGGAGGAGGAGGAGGAGAAAGAAAAGAGGACACCCGCTGCCTCAAAGGATTGTAAGCACAGAGCCCCAGGAGGCGAAAAAGAAAGAAAGAGAGAAGGCAAGGAGAGGCAGACGCCCGGGCCGAGGACGAGGAGGAAAACAAGGAGGACGACGGCAAGGATCCCGAGAACCGCGGGACGACGATGAAGAATCAGAAACAGAAGCCAGAATCAATACACATGTAATCGTTGGGAGTAATACCAAGGACAGCCATAAGGAATAACACAGAAAAAAGTGTCGGCCTTGTGTGCGGTCTGTCTGTGGGCGGCGGCACGGCGGGATGGAGAGGACGAGGAGGCGCAGGACGAGAACGACTGCGACGCCGACGATGAAGGACCCGCCGGGGCTCCCGTCGGACGACGACGGCGAACGAGGAGGACGGGGACGAGGGCGAGGGCGAGGACGAAGGACCCGCCCAGGCTCCCGAGGAACGGCGGGGGGGGGGGGCGGGCGGGGCGGCGAGCGTGCGCCTCAGGGTGCAGTTCGGCTTCGGGCACGCCCTCCGCCGCGCCACGGGCGGGGCCGTGTGGGCCTGCAGGCCTCCCCTCCCTCCCCTCCCCTGCGCGTTCCTCCCGCCCCCCTTGGTTGCAGGAGCAGCGGGAGGACGACGAGGATGACGAGGTCGGCGCCGAAGAGAGAGAGAGAGAGAGAGCGTGTCGTGGACGCTTGCTTGGACGAGAACTATTTTGCTTCGAGCGGCCCCCACCGAAACCGTAAGAAGTTGCCCCCGACGGCGCGCGGACGCCTGATTAATCAGTCGACGACTGCCGTTTCTGGAAAACAAACGGTTCGACTGTGTTTCATGTAGTCACGTTCTTTCATGCTGTGCTCTATCATGTCTTGTTCTGTTCTCGACGGGCCAGCGTGACGTCGTGACGCCTGTGACGTTAGATGCGTCGCCTATTATGGTGTTCCTCTTCGCTTGTGCTTCTCTTCTGACTGGGTATATTATGTTATGCTCATGTCTGCAACCATGTAATTTAAGCTGCCGTGGTCTGATCTGCTCCGTGGTACAATGGTATACCACGACGTGGCACGTATGCCAACGTATGCTATATTATGATTTATTTCGTGCTGCTGTCGGCAGCTCGGCTCAGTGTAGTATACTCACGGTATGCTATGCTAAGCTGTTTCGCTGTGCTTTGCTGGCGTGCTATGCTATGCTCTGTGTTGCTGTCATGCTATGATATGATGTATTCTGCCTTGGTGTGCTATAGTATGTTTGATCATGGTACGGTATGTTGTTATGACTTCGTATGGTATGTCATGTTATGCTCTAGTATGTTAGGTGATGCAAATGTATTATGGTATGCTCTTCTAGTATGCGTAGCCATGCTCTGCTGACGTGTTACGATCTGTTATGTGATGCTGTGCCATGATGTGCGATGTTCTGTCAAGGTGTGTTATGCTCTGCTCGGTAATGGTCTGTTAGGTTGTGTTCCGTCGTCTTCTGTTCTGTCATGTTTCGGGCTGGTATGTTATGCGATGTTATGGTATGCCCGGTTTTATCATGACATTGCTATGTTATGTTCTGCCATGTGCTGTCATGATCGTGCTATGTCCTGTCATGCTATGTTCTGTCGTATTGTGTTATGTCGTGTTCGACGTCGCCATTCTTTGCTGTCGTGGTATGGTCTGTTCTGTGATGCTGAGCCATGATGTTAGATGTTCTGTCAAGGTGTGGTATGTTGTGCTAGATTCTGTCACGTTCTGTTGTTGTCTGTCGTCTTCTGTTACGTCATGTTCTGCTCTGATATGTTCTGTGATGTTCTGCTCTGGTATGTTATGTGATGGTATGTTTGTTGACGGCCCGGCTCTGTATACTATATAATGGTATGCTCTGCTAGCATGTGTCGCTATGCCCAGTTGTCGTGTTATGATATGTTATGCGATGCTGTTCCATGATTAGACATGTTCTGTAAAGGTGTGTTATGTTATGCTCGGTTATGCCATATTCTGATATGTTATGTGAAGTTATGCTATGCCCTATTTTGTCATGGCATTGCTATGTTAGGTTCTTTAATGTTATGTCATGCTCGTGTTATGCTCTGTCATGGTATGTTGCGTTTTTTTTGTTATGTCGTCTTCGTCGTCGCTATGCTCTGCTGTCGTTTATGCTATGTTCTATGATGCTGTGCCATGGTATGATCTGATATGTCAAGGAATGTCATATGATGATCGGTTATGTTATGCTTTGTTGTGTTATGTCGGTTTCTGTTATGTCATGCTTTGCTATGGTGCATTATGTGATGAAATGGTATGCTCTATTTTGCCATGCAATGGGTATGTTCTGCTCTGCCATGGTCTGTCATTCCCGTGTTCTGTCATGACATGGTATGTAATGTCATGCTGTGTTATGTCGTCTTCGTCGTCGCTATGCTCTACTGTCGTAGTATGATCGTTTTCTGTGATGCTGTGTCATGGTACGAAAGGTTATGTCAATATGTGTTATGTTATGATCGGTTCTGTTATGGCGTGATCTGTCGTTTGTTATGTCCTGTTCTGCTCTGCTATGTTATGTGATGTTATGTCATGCTCTACTGAGTCATGATATTGATATGCTCTGCTCTCTCATGTTCTCTCATGCTCTGTCCCGTTCTGTCATGTTATGTTCTGTCATGCTGTGTTCTGTCGTGTTCGTCGAGGGCGCGAGGCGGGACACCCGGGACTCTCGGGGCATCGGGACGAATTGGGGTCTGGCGGCCGCGGTATGCAGGGTGGGGTTGGCCGGGGGACCTCTTCATCTACCAACCCCAACCCGTCGGGCGGGGAAAAACCCTGGACACGCCGGGACTGGGCCCCCCTTCCCCATGCGAAGCGCCCCGAGAACTGACTCCCCCCCCCCCCCAGACACCGCACTCTCTAAACGGTCCCCCCTCCCCTGCAAGGGGGGGGGGTCGAATCGCCCCCCCCCCGTCCAGGTTCGGGGGGGGTCGCACCGCCCCCCCCCACCTCCCCGTAATAGAATCCCATCAGTGCTCGATCAAGTTCGGATATAATCCAACGATAGCTGGACCCAACTTTACTAGCATCCAGTCGGGTTCGACACAATTCTAATGACATCTTACTGTAGGTGGTTCCTGCTCTAGTTGAACCCCACTGAAGCTCAATCGAGTTGGAAACTAATTCTTTGGTCAAACTTTAATAGCACCCTAGCTATGCTCTGCCAACGTCTAGAGTCCTTCTTTAGCTGGATCCAACTCTCATTGAACCCTGCTATACGGCTCGATCCAGCTCGCCCAGGGCCCCAAGACGGCCCCAAAAGGGGCCTCAGAGAGGGAACACGAACCGAAAATCCGAGCCTTCTGCTCAAGAGGCCCCCAGGAGGCCCGAAGAGGCGCCCAAGAGGCCCCCCAAAGAGGTCCCGACAGGGCCCAAAGAGGCCCCCCAAAGAGGTCCCAAGAGGCCCCCACACGGCCCCCAAGAGGCCTCCAAACTGCCTCCAAGAGGCACCCGAGAGGCCCCGCACGAGGTCCCAACGAACATCCAATAGGCTTCATACCCATAACCCAGGCACGGTGGCGGGATGGGCCGAAGGCTATTCGATAGCTGGATCCGCCGCCCCCTATTGATTTATCATAGGAGTGCCCGGCGTGCTGGATTTCTTACGATTTGGTTGTGGCTCTTTTTCCAAGAGAACTCTCCCCTTGGGCTTCGGCCCGTCCCGCTGGCCACCTGGAAGGGACCG